CTTACCGGTTTGTCATTCAACATACACAATGGCCTTGCCTTCAAGTTGGAAATCAGCAGCGACCGAATTATTTGCCCATGGAGGTGAGTTGTTTCTATAATTTCTAGCTTGTAAATACTAATGGGGATATGGCTGCTAATGAGCAGTAACTGGATTCAGGTTTGTAAAATTGTCGAAGGTCAAAGGTATTCCAAGAGATTGAACGAGAGACAGATAACTGCTTTGCTTAAGGTCACCTGTCAGCGCCCTCATGACAGGGAGCAAGATATTATTCGGGTGTGTTATCTTTTGATTATTCTATTTATCATGATATATTTTTTGTTGCAGTTGATGCCATGAGCCCTTTGGTTACTGCTTGCTTTGTTATTTGATAATATTGTCATCTTGCTGTCCTTAACTTATCTTCTGTGTCATAATTTAAATGCTCACATCATTTGAAGTTTTATGGTAGAAGGCATCTTTTATCCAGAAATACGATTGATGGTGATATGTTAATTCCCAGTTTAATATTTTGGTACATGTTACAGACAGTTCGTCATAATGCTTACCATGAAGATCCTTACGCCAAGGAGTTCGGAATCAAAATTAGTGAGAATCTGGCTCAGGTTGAAGCTCGTATTCTTCCTGCACCCTGGGTAAGATATGTAATTGCGTTCAGTCCCAAAACGTAGTTTGATAGTATATCTGTATTGATTTTTATTTTGCATAGCTGAAATATCATGATACTGGACGAGAAAAGGATTGCCTGCCCCAAGTTGGTCAGTGGAACATGATGAATAAGGTAATATTCTGGCACCCCTCTAAACCCTTATTTATTTACTTTTACTGAAGTGTGTGGTCAATGTGATCTACCTTTCGACCCAAAGAAAGTCCTATTATTTATGCATTAATGTTTCTTTAATGCCTTTTTTTATTGTCTTCAGTCACACAAGTGAAATTATATATCTGGATATTTGTATGATTGACTGTTTTTAACCTGTTTACCCACTTTACTATGTGATTATTCATGTAGTAGTTCTCATGTTTATGTGGTTAATAAATACTTAGTTGGACATATGGTTATATCTGTAGACAAATGAATGTCCCATGTCTTGCTGAATTATTACAGCCCATTTGGATTACTATGATATTTTGCAGAAAATGGTCAATGGAGGAAAAGTAAACAATTGGATTTGCATTAATTTTTCAAGAAATGTTCAAGACAGTGTGGCCCGGTCCTTCTGTAATGAACTTGCTCAAATGTGTTACATTTCTGGCATGGTATGGAAATTTTCTTTATTATTACAGTTTCCACTGGCTTTAATTGCATTGTTAGTTTTCTATATTTGGATTTCTCTGACGCTGAAGTTTTTTTTTTTATAGGCGTTCAATCCAGAACCCGTACTTCCACCACTTGGAGCTCGACCCGATCAGGCAGAGAAGGCCTTAAAAACTAGGTACCATGATGCAATGACCAAACTCCGGCCCCAGAGCAAGGAGCTTGACCTGCTTGTCGTTATTTTACCAGATAATAATGGCAATCTTTACGGTATGCGTTTGAAATCATTTGGCTCCATTATCTCTTTCTGCTTTTTATTTCTCTCTATAATATCGTCCCAATTTTGTGTTGTCCTGAAGTTCTAGATTCTTGTATGTACTGATAGTCTGATATCCATCCAGGTGACTTGAAACGAATTTGCGAGACGGATCTTGGCCTGGTATCCCAGTGCTGTTTGACGAAACACGTTTTCAGAATGAGTAAACAATACTTGGCAAATGTTGCTTTGAAGATAAATGTGAAGGTTGGCGGAAGGAACACAGTACTTATTGATGCACTGTCAAGACGTATTCCTTTAGTCAGTGACCGTCCTACTATAATTTTTGGTGCTGATGTTACCCATCCTCATCCAGGGGAGGATTCAAGCCCATCAATTGCGGCTGTATGTTGTCGATGATATCTATGGGTTTTGGCTAGTGCTTTCGTATTTGTCTTGAATTCACGTGGGGAGTCACAGTTTAATTGTTCACATGTCGTTTATGACACAGGTTGTGGCCTCACAAGACTGGCCAGAAATTACCAAGTATGCTGGCTTGGTCTGTGCTCAAGCTCATCGCCAGGAGCTCATCCAGGACCTGTTCAAAACATGGCAGGATCCTCAGAGGGGTACTGTAACCGGTGGAATGATAAAGTCTCTCCCTCCCTCTCTCTATCTCTCTCAATTATATTAATTCTCTACTTACTGGGGATTGTTAGGAATTGCAGAACTGAGTTAAATTTGTATGTTAATGTAGGGAACTGCTGATTTCATTCCGTAGAGCAACGGGACAGAAGCCACAGCGCATCATATTTTACAGGCATTTAATGCTCCTTTGCCATTGTTTGTGTCCTACGTACTTCTCCTATTTCTAATGGTATGTGTATATACACGTTTGTGTTTTCAGGGACGGTGTCAGTGAAGGGCAGTTCTACCAAGTTCTACTATACGAGCTTGATGCGATTCGTAAGGTGAACTTGCATTTTTGGGATTATTCTTTAGTATAGTTGTGCATTTTGTTCTTTGTTAGTAATATTATTAACCTCTTTTTGCTTCTTGTCGTTGTTTTCTTCTTCAGGCTTGTGCTTCCTTGGAGCCAAACTATCAGCCACCTGTGACTTTTGTTGTGGTTCAAAAACGGCACCACACCAGGTTGTTTGCCAACAATCACAATGACCGTAATGCAGTTGACAGGAGTGGAAATATCTTACCTGGTAATTAATTTTACTGAATATGAAATGTTTGGATGATGTAGTTCAGTTTTCATGCTTGTTATACGGAAGTTTTACCCAATTGTTTCTGCAGGTACGGTTGTGGACTCCAAAATCTGTCATCCAACAGAGTTTGACTTCTACCTCTGCAGCCATGCTGGAATTCAGGCAATGATTTTTCCTTGGGTTATCAGTGGGGTGTGTGTGTTTGTGAAGCAGCATGTTTATAAATCTGTATACACCATGATTTGACAGGGTACAAGCCGTCCGGCTCATTACCATGTGCTGTGGGATGAAAACAAGTTTACAGCTGATGAACTGCAGTCACTCACAAACAATCTTTGCTATACGTAAGTTGGCTGATTTAGCAGTTTTAGTCATTGAAATTTTTATTTATTTATATTTTTGAATCTTGAACTCCAGTGCTGAATGGTTGATCTTTTGAACTCTTGCAGGTACGCAAGATGCACTCGTTCGGTTTCCATTGGTAGACTCTCTGATGCCTTCTCATTATTTTCTTGTTTGTACTTAAAATAGGCAGTGTTCTGATTTTAGCTTTAAAATTGCAGTTCCTCCGGCGTACTATGCCCATCTTGCTGCATTCCGAGCTCGGTTTTACATGGAACCAGAGACATCAGACAGCGGATCAATGACCAGTGCTGCTCCTGGACGTGGGGGCATGGGTGGCGGTATGGGTCCGCGGAGCACAAGAGCACCAGGTGCAAATGCTGCAGTGAGGCCCTTGCCTGCCCTCAAGGAGAATGTCAAAAGGGTTATGTTCTACTGTTAGAGAGAGAGAGAGGGGAGTCGTTTAGTAGAGGTTGCGAAGAGATGTCGCCTAAAGAATGTAGGAAGATTATGCATTGTAATGTCGTCGTTTTGGAGTCTGCCAAGTGCCAAGGGTGTCTATAGCCTTTGCTGCACCTGTGTTTTAGATGTCTGTCGTTAAGTATTTGGAATTTGCCGTTGCAACTGACTGGTACGCGGTTGCTACTGCACTGCGCCAGTCGGGTGTTTTGGGAAGTTAGTAATCTTATGCTGTCGTTTAGATGGAATTGGGACAACTATGACTAGATGATGCTTTCGTTTAATTTATTCAGTGTCTTGTCTTGTACAACTTTCAGCTTTAATTCTCTTGTTGGAATGCATTCTTGCTCTTTGTTTCAAGAGAGGTTTAACGAAAAGCTTTTGGTCATGTTCATTTTAACGAAAAATCATATTTGTACATTAAAAAGTCAATCTCAGTGCTATTCATTTTATTCTTTTTCGTTAAAACTCAAAGTTTTCATATTCTTTTCATTAGTTTTTTTTTGTTTTAATTTATCTTAAAGAATTAACATAAAAGAAGAATGATATGGTTTTTTATTTCCAAGGGTTTATGGGATTAGGCATTTACGAAAAGTATCTAAGTCTACTATTTTCGTGAGACTCGGAATGGATAAGTTTTATTCGTGAGAAATTCATTACCCGACGAGTTTTTCTTATATTCTTTTCATTAGTTTTTCTTTGTTTTAATTTATCTTAAAGAATTAACATAAAAGAAGAATGATATGGTTTTTTATTTCCAAGGGTTTATGAGATTAGACATTTACGAAAAGTATCTAAGTCTACTATTTTCGTGAGACTCGGAATGGATAAGTTTTATTCGTGAGAAATCCATTACCCGACGAGTTTTTCATTTCTTCAAGCTTCTTAGAAATACTTTATTCATTCTATTCCAATATTCTCTACCAAATGAGGCTTCTCTCGCATAATTTTTTTTGTTTTCCTTGGTCAATTTGAAGTACAAATTAGTTTTTCTTTGTTTTATTACGTTAGTAAGAGTGTGTATTGGTGGTGTTACTAGTTTATTTATTATTTTATACGGATAATAAGGTTGATATATCATAAACTTCAATATAGCATTAATGAAAAATTCACGTAATATGAATGAATGTATTGGTAACACTTAGTGACAGTGTGTCATGATTGTGGTGGTGAAAAACGTGTGGACAACTTGAAAAAAAAACACGTCGTAAACTTGAGATCGGAACAAGTAAAGGATAAAAATGCACGTTTACGAAGACCAATTACGAATTGCTTGAGATTCTTTCCCTCCACTTTTAAAACAAATATACCACAACGAACACCAAATCTGGTTGATTTGCTTCAACCCATTTTATAATTCCTTTCTTGCTTTCATCTTTCCTTTCCCACGTAAAGGTACTAAAGAATAAAGGTTGTTCTTTCTCCGCCCATGGCAATTTCAGCCATATGTAACCTAACCACTCTTCTCTTCCTGCATTTTAAAGTTCCCTATAAATTAACCAATAAACGGAACCAACGTTCATAAAACTAAACCAACTTCGAAGATCGCTTGTGATCAATTGTGCTAATTCGTTGACTGAAATGGCTTCCACCTCCTCAGCTGTGAAGCGATCTGAAAATATTGCAGAAACCATGCCAGACGCACTCAGGGAGAGCCACTTTCATATGAAGAAATGTTTTGCCAGGTTCTTTGATTTTTTTTTTTTTTTCATACAATATTTATTTATTTGTTCATTATAAAATGTTTGTGAAATTCGAATATTGATGTTCTTGTTTAATTAATTATTAATTAACAAATTCAAACATGCGTGCAAAAAGTTTTGTTGGAACGGGGAAAAGGCTAATAAAGCCCCAGCATATAATGGAGGAGCTGGAAAAATCGATAGAAGACAGGCATGAAAGAAGCAAGGTCTTGGAGGGTTTACTTGGTTACATCCTCAGTTGCACTCAGGAGGCAGCTGTTGTTCCACCGTATGTCGCTTTTGCGGTGAGACCGAATCCCGGTTTCTCAGAATTTGTTAAGGTGAATGCAGACGATCTAGCAGTGGATGGCATTTCTGCTACCCAATACTTGAAGTTCAAAGAAATGATCTTTGACGAAAGCTGGTACGTATTATACGCATGCGTATGTAGCTACGTGTATATATAATATATATCCATAACTGCTGTCAAATTAATTTGAGCGATGCATGCATGCAACAGGGCGAACGATGAAAATGCTTTGGAAATAGACTTTGGAACCATCGATTTCTCTACTCCTCGAATGACGCTTCCTTCTTCGATCGGAAATGGACTCAACTTCGTCTTAAAGTTAATCTCATCAAGGCTCAGTACTCATGCCAGCTGCTCCGATTATGCTAAACCCCTCCTTGACTACTTATTACCACTTAATTATCACGGAGAGGTAGAAATCATTTATGTTACTTTTGTTTGAGATTAACTGATTAATTACTTGATCTTTTGCGGCCTCTCTATTAATTTGTTCTAATTAAAGTACAATGTATATATATATGCAGAATCTTATGATCAATGAAAGTCTGGATACCGTTGAAAAACTTCAAACTGCATTGATCCGAGCAGAAGTACTCGTCTCCACACTTCCAAAAACCACACCATTCCCGAATTTTGAGCAAAGGTTATCTCTCATGCACCTTAACTAAAGAATGTATGTGTTATATATATAGATCTTGATTGTTTATATACGGACAAATGTATTTAATCTTGATCAGGTTTAAAGTGTTGGGTTTTGAGAAAGGATGGGGAGATACGGCAGAAAGAGTTGGGGAAACAATGAGGCTGCTGTCAGAAGTACTCCAAGCGCCAGACTCGGTGAAGTTGGCGTCGTTGTTTAGCAGACTTCCTAACACATTCAACATTGTTATCTTCTCTCCTCACGGCTACTTTGGCCAGTCGAATGTCCTTGGATTGCCTGACACGGGTGGCCAGGTGGTTTATATTCTTGATCAAGTGAGAGCCTTGGAGGAAGAGTTGCTCCTCAGAATAAAACAACAAGGCCTTGCTGTGAAACCTCAGATTCTTGTGGTGAGCTGGACTGACTATGCATAAACAAAAGAATACTGAATAATATGTACATATTGCATTTCTAATTTGTACTTTGTACCTACAATGTATGTACGTACCTGTCATGTACACAGGTGACACGACTTATACCAGACGCTCGAGGAACAAAATGCAACCAGGAGTTGGAAGCTGTCATCGACACTAAGCACTCCCACATCCTTAGGGTTCCATTCAGGACAGACAAAGGCGTTCTCCGCCAATGGGTTTCTCGTTTCGATATCTACCCTTATCTCGAGACATTTGCACAGGTTCATCTTCTCACTCTAGCTGTCATATATATGACCAATTTATTCTACTGATCTCTTTTCTCCAGTACTAGACAAGAGTGTTTGGAAAGAAAAAGTACGATTTACATATTTATTCTGTTCTCATCGTTGTTTATTAGGATGCAACTGCAAAGATCTTACGACACATGGAATGCAAACCAGATCTCATAATTGGGAACTACAGTGATGGAAACCTGGTGGCCTCTCTGATTGCTTCTAAACTTGGAATCACTCAGGTCTAAGTCTACACGTAACCACCTCCTTCGATATACAACTGTTGGTTAAAAACTTGAATCTCAACTAAATTAACCTGTTCCAAGTAATTGACCCTCTGCAGGGAACGATTGCGCATGCGCTAGAAAAGACCAAGTACGAAGATTCTGACGCCAAATGGAAGGAATTTGATCCAAAATACCACTTCTCTTGTCAGTTCACAGCTGACATAATCTCTATGAATTGTGCTGATTTTGTCATAACAAGCACATTTCAAGAAATTGCCGGAGGGTTAGTAGTCTTTTATGCCAAAACCATAATTACTATACAAGGTTGACACGATCGTCTCCTTAATCGATCAATGTGTTCTTTTCATGTTGCAGCAAGGACCGACCTGGACAGTACGAAAGCCACACAGCATTTACAATGCCAGGACTTTATCGGGTCGTGTCAGGCATTGATGTGTTTGATCCAAAGTTCAACATTGCTGCCCCTGGTGCTGACCAATCCGTCTACTTTCCCTACTCCGAGAAACAAAAACGATTTACCAAGTTTCAACCTGTCATCGAAGAACTACTCTACACGAAAGAGGAAAACGATGAGCACATGTAATTAATTCTTACACATCTGTCAATTCTTGCACATTTGTTGTGGCAATTTCTAAATAAAAACTCATGAAAAATAAAACATGCTTGGAACAGAGGATTTTTGGCGGACCAGAAGAAACCGATCATATTCTCAATGGCAAGGCTGGACACAGTGAAGAACCTCACAGGACTCGTTGAGTGGTTTGGAAAGAACAAGAGGCTGAGGAATTTGGTCAATCTTGTAATCGTTGGGGGATTCTTCGATCCATCTAAATCCAAAGACAGAGAAGAAATTGCTGAAATCAAGAAATTGCATGCCTTGGTGCAAGAATATCAACTTAGCGGTCAGTTCAGATGGATAGCGGCTCAGACTGACAGATACCGAAATGGGGAGCTGTACCGGTGCATTGCAGACACTAAGGGAGCTTTTGTGCAGCCTGCGCTGTACGAAGCGTTCGGTCTCACAGTCATTGAGGCCATGAACTGTGGGTTGCCTACATTTGCAACCAACCAAGGAGGCCCTGCAGAAATCATTGTGGATGGCGTCTCAGGTTTCCATATTGATCCCAACAATGGTGATGAATCCAGCAACAAGATTGCTGACTTCTTTGAGAAATGCAAGACGGATGGCGAATACTGGAAGAAGATGTCAGCTGCCGGTCTGCAGCGTATAAACGAATGGTATGACCGCAGGCCTATTTGAGACCGTTTTTGGAATAACTAAAGTGTTTTACAATAACGAAAAGCGTTTCTAACTACGTTTTAAACCTGAAGAACACTTAAACGCACTTGTAGCAAAAGGGTTTGCTATTGTGCATGATCTTATTGATTTTTGGTTTTGTTGCAGCTATACATGGAAGATATATGCAAACAAAGTGTTGAACATGGGATCAACTTATGGATTTTGGAGGCAGTTGAGAGATGCACAAAAGTTAGCCAAGGAAACCTACATTCATATGTTTTACAATCTCCTCTTTAGGAAATTGGTACGTCTCGTGATTCTGACCCTGCCATAATCACTCTTAAACAGGCCCTAAAATACACGTTGTATGTTAATGCAGGCAAAGAATGTAGCTGTTCCAAGTGATGGACACGAACAACCGGCGCCAAAGGCCGTAATTGCAGCTGTCGACCAACGCACGCCGGCATCCAAACCTCCGCAGCCAGAAGCAGCACCAACCTTAGCAATCCCTCAGCTGACACCAAGGTATATAATTAGTACCTAACATAGGGAACTTGCTTAATTAAATTCTGAATTTTTTTAATGCTAATTAGTTGGATTAATTCATTTGGCAGGGAGAGGGATGAAGGTGGGGAGCTTAGCCAACCTCGAAGCCACAGCAGAGCACGATGCCTATGGAATTGCTGCTGCGTCATCCTTGGTCTTCTCATCATACTTTATTACAAGATTAGGAATATGTACAATTAAGTGTTAAGTGTATAAATAAATTAAATTTAAAGCGAGATCAACTCACAATGATCATGTAAATTCTATATTCTCTCCAACTTCCAATAAAACAATAAAGATCAGTTGCAATACTCAGTATTTTGTATTCTTTTTTCCTTTTTTTTGAAAGGAAGCCGCACCGTCCCTTCTTCTCCTCCCGTCCTCTTCCGCAAACCGTATCACCCTCTGCCGTTGAATTGGTGCAACTGCAGTTTCAAGTTTCTACCAACGCAATTTAAATGTCTGCTTTCGTGTATGGGGGGTTGTAGGCAAGGAAGAAGAGGATCTGTGACAATCACAGAATTCAGTTCACTACAGCAACTGCAGTTGCAGTGACTGGGGCTGGGGATTTGGTGGCTGTGAGAGGTGGGATGAGCGACTGGGGAAGGGAGGGGAAGGTGGCCTGGCGTTTTCAGCGTTTAGGTGGATTAATTTTTAGATTAAATTTGCAAATGTGGCATGTCACTGATAAAAAATAAATATGTTTGTTAATAATTTAATAATAATTCAATCATCAGTTATCACATCATTCAATTTATAAAATATGATTTAAGTAAATGATACTCTTAACATTACTCGTTTTATAGTTCAAATGCATTTTAAAATTTATAAGCAATTGTTATTGGTGGATTAATATTGTATTATTTTTTTAATAGAAAGTTAACGAAAGTGACTAAGATGCAAACATTGTCAACCATAGTGGCTAAATTGGCTAAGTTAAAATCAAACTTACTAAAATAAAATCCTATTATATTTACATATTATATATATATATATATATATATATATATATATATTACAGTAATTGATTTGATAGCGATTTTGATAAGGCCCCCCTCATCAACTTGAGTTGATAGAGATTTTAAGGGCCTCCTCCTCCTCATCAACTTTACGAAGTGGTCCAGCACAAATAATAATACTTTGGACGTTAAAACTAGAAACTAAACCGAATCATCCCCCACTCAATCTTCTTTACTTTTCCAATTTACACTTACACACCAAAATTCAAAAATTTAATTTAAATTTGTGAAGAAAGCATTCCAAGAAAGAAATGAGTAGTGGGTCCTGCTGTGCTGGCAGTGGCAGGCACCAGGCACTGCCACCCTCGGCCACGGTGGACCACTTTGTTTTTTAACGTGGCAATTTACTCTTTGGACGTGATTAAGAAAGATAGGTTGATAATAGAATAGGATTTTTTCCGGATTTTTTCTTTGTAGGAATTCGGATGATCAATATATTATATTCGTTCATCGTATATAATACGGTTAGAAATTATTTTAAAATTTAATTTAAAATTGAATATAAATCATACCTAACGAAAACTAACAATACAATATACAATGAACAGATACGATTAATTGATCTTCAGATCCCTACAAAGAGAATTAAAAGAGAATCCTTGTCCATCGATGATCAAGAGGTAAACGATGACCATGCCAGTGCACGTGCCACTCTATACCACATGCATTAGCATTGCCACTACCTCTTGATTTTTTTGGGTCAAACACAAGCTTTATTAATATAAGAAAATGTTACCAGAGATAAAATTTAAAACATAAAAACTAGGTCAAGTGGACATAAAAAGTCCAAACATTTAATTATTTAACTTGTCACATCCTGAGCTGGGGGAGACCACTTTCCGGGCCCGCTCCACCACCGTAGCACGATATTGTCCGCTTTGAGCTTACCATTCCTACACGGTTTTATTTTTGGGAACTCAAGAGCAACTTCCCTAGTGGGTCACCCATCAAAGGATTGCTCTGGCCCCTTCTCGCTTAACTTCGGAGTTCCTACGGAACCCGAAGCCAGTGAGCTACCAAAAGGCCTCGTGCTAGGTAGGGATGGGAATATACATTTAAGGATCACTCCCCTGGGTGATGTGGGATGTCACATAACTTAAGTATGAATAACTACTTAATTTTAGGATGATATTAGTCTTAACATTTTAAAATATTTTTAGTAATTATTTAACGTTTTAAAAAATAGACATATGTTAGGTTACCATTGTAAGTGATGAAGGCAAATATTAAGATAATTTTAACAAATACGATGAAATCATGTCACCAACACTTAATGCTAGTGACTTAACAAGTGCATAATTCTCAAATCGTTAGGTGTTTGTTTTAAATGTTTTAAAAAGTTGAAAACAATTTAGAATCATCTTTGTTAGTAACTTTTTTTACGTAAGTAACACAAATTTGCAGACCTATGCATAACCAAATTGTGACCCGCCTCCAGCTCAAAAGGCAAGGGGGAAGATCAGTCTTGAATAAAAGAAGAGCTATCGTCGTGGACAGATAGACCACTTACCAGAAGAAAAAAACTCCCAACCCGTCGACCACACGCCCTAGCATAGCCTTTCCCGCAGGAACATCCACAATGGATCCAGTGCGCTTGACAAGATCTCCTTCTTTAATAGCGGTATCACTACCAAAGACAACAATCCCTACATTCTTATTCCATTCAAAGGTGTGCAAATGCAGGATTTTATAGATATCCGCATAGTGATAGGACTTATTTTCGCATTTTTCGGTTGTGAAAAAATAAAAAGGTGTTAGACTAATTTGGCAAAGGGTGATGCTAGAAAAACTATTTACTTGAATCATATTTTATAGATTACATAATGTGACAGTTGATGGTTGACTTTGTACATTTAATCCAATTCATTAAATTATTAAAAAAAGAATTTAATCATCAACAGTCACATCACATAATCTGCAAAATATGATCTAAAAACATGACGTTCTTAGCAGTTTTCTTTGGTAAATAAATTACGAAACGAATTTTGAAGTTTTTATTTAGTCAATGATCAATCAATCAACAGGGTTTGGACTTTGGCCTAAGAATAAATCTTGAAGAGGCAAATTTATAATTTATAAAATTGAACAATAATTATTTAGGGAAGTTATACTTGATTTATGTGATTCACAATGAATGGTACCTTTCCTTTCGTAATCAATGTTGGAAATTAACCACAAAATAAAATTAAAAAAATTAAAAAATCGACGTAGAAATCAAAGCCAAGAGGTATAAGACAACGAGGAAATACGACGAGGACGCTTTCTTCGTAAGCTCGTGGATGGGTGAGTGGAATATTTCGAGGAATCTTTATATATAATTGAGAGAATATTATTATAATTATACATTCATCGTCATCGAAAAACATCCAAAATAGAAAAATAAGGCATAAACTTGGTTTTCTTGATGAAGATGCATGTTCATAGGCTAACCTCAAAGACAGAAATGAGCTATACGACAAACACTAAATATTGGACAAGGATTGTCTACCCTTCCACTTCTGGTGTCATTCCGTGTCCTTCTATTTGTGTGGTCACGGTTAAACCACGTCAACATTTTATATTACTATTCATTTTTATCTTATTATCTCTATAAAAAAACAATATAAAATGTTGACGTGACTTAACCGTGACCACACAAAATATAAGAGGGCACGGGAGGGCACCGCAAGTGGGAGGACAGACAATCCTTGTCCCTAAATATTTCCTAAAAACTGCAAACATAAAATTAACAGGTAAAACATTAAGTGACGAATTGCCTTAGTATAGTTTAAACCAGTAATATTGATTGTAATAAAAAAAAAAATACTAATTAAGTGTTTTAGTGTGTTAAATATTCTATACTATGCATTATGGAGAGATGACAAAATTAGGCACAAAATTAACAAATTTCAAAATGAGGCAGAAAATTAATGAACATAGCGTTGAAATATGGGTTGCAGGCTTGCAGCTGAATTGAAGTGAAGAATTAGGCACAGAATTAAGAAAACTCCAATTTTTGAAAAGTCTTCTCTCTATTATTGATGTAATTCCCAACATTATCTCTCTTGTGGTTCATGTTAGACTAATGACTAGTGGCCATCACCAAAACAACACATGTTTGTGTCTTGCATGTGTGGGCATCGTTTGACTTGGCAACTTGCAACCAAAAATTAAATCCATTCCCCCAAATAGGTTTAACATAACAAGTTCTTTTTGAAATTGTTTAAGGCTTTTGATTGATTAATTTTGTGAAAGAATATACATTTAGGCTTTTGACATGACATGATATATTAATTCCTTGAATTTTGGAAGAGAAGAGGCTGATTTAAACTCCATGCTGGCCTGGCGGCTGGCCTCATTGTCTGTCCGCTATGTGCAATGATTTACTGGTAAAATTATAATTACATGTATTTCGATAATAACTAGAATTATATGTAAATTGTTCCAGGGGTGGACATTATTAATTTATTATATATATGCAGATGCCTGCGTGCAGTATATGTACATGGACTAACCCTAGTTAGTACTTGGCTTACCTGGTGGACTTGTACAAGCTATGGTGGTCATCCCTTCAATTTTCAATTTATTTATGAAAAATTATTAATTTTATTCCTTTTTTTATATGTAGATTCTAGAGCGTTAGAGGTCTTCAGTAAAAATTAGGTACATATTAACAGAAGGATAATAAGGCTCAGAGGAAGAAACAATTAGCCAGGCAGGCAGGCAGGCAGGCAGGCATGTAATACAAGTTGACACCTCGTATTAGCAAAACAATCAGGGAATTAAGACTCGAGGCGGAGTTTGCCGAAATATATCCATCCGACAGTCCGACTCCAAAAGCAAGCGAGCGAGAGAGAGAGGGAAGTAAGAATGAGCAAATTATCGGCAGATGAAGCAGCTGGAAATTATGTTAGCGAGAATGATATGATGAAATTGCCAATATCATCATCACCATCGTCACCAACATCCAACGGTGGAAAAGGATCATCAGGCAGCAGTAACCGAGCGTTGTTGGTGAAGAGGATTATAAGGGTGACGTTGCTGTTTGTGGCAGCCACTGTGGGTTGCTTTATCATCTCCGGATTTCTGCTCGGATCCTATTATGACTACGATTTGTCTTCTCATCAGGCCAGTACTCTCTCTCTCTCTCTCTCTCTCTCTCTCTCTCTCTCTCTCTCTCATGTTCTATTTTGCGTTCATCCGAAGGCTTGTTATTTTAGTTCATAATTAATGCCGGCATATTCCAACAGCTGCATGTTTTATTTATTAGTTTTTTCTGATAACGTTCGATTACAGATATAAAAAATCAAAGC